GATATTACTTTTAAGAAAAAGGACTGCATGCAGTATTGAGGTCTGCACTGAAGAGACAAAAAAAAGAAAGAAAAGACACCAAAAGTATAAGTGCAAATAATTCTATGTCTGCTTCATTTCTTTTATAATGATTTTTACGGAAAATAGAGATTGTCTCCTTAGGATTCACTGACCCCAAAGGCATAGGTGTCTGTGTACCTGCGTAATTGGAGTTTTATCTAGTGTTTGGTGTCTTGCTTCTCCCAGAAAAAGGCTTAATGGAGAAAACTGGTTGGCATGTGGACTGACTAGGGTGTGAAAATTGAATTAGAATTAAGATTAGAATTAAAATTTAGATGTAGCCTGTGGTAATCCTATAAATTACGGGCTTTGTGAGACTGGCCGCACAGAGCTGCCCTTTTTCTGCTCTCCTACTGGATATACTGGCTACAAGAAGGTAATTTGTATGGAAAAGGAGAAGAGGATCACCTAGCTCAGCCAGGAACACACTGACTTTCAGGAAAGAAAATCTCATCTCAAGGAAGGAACACATGATGGTCTTCAAGCATCTTTTATACAGGATGCAAAACCATCATTCCATCCTGAAGCAGAGGATACCTGGGGAGAATGCTGTGAGGTATATTCTGGTAGGCCTGGCAGAGTCTGACTTACTGTAGGGAAGAAAATAGCCTTAAGTTCCAGTGTTTAATGGGAGGATTCACTGCAGAGCCCCACAGAATATGCACTTCATTTAGTGTTTTAACTGGTTCTGCAATAATGCAAAATAATGCAAAAATAATTCCCAAATCACAACACAGACATGGAAGCCTCTGTTAAATAAATCTAAATTTTTTTTTAAGAAATACCAGTATAAGAAGATGAAATAGAGATGGGAGTCAGAATCGTTTTAACCGGTTCTGCAATAATGTGCCTTGTTCAGATTTAAGGAGTTGGCCGAGGCAGCACGTGGACTATCAGATACAGTGGCACTGGACAGCACGGAGCTGTGACTTGACAAAGTCTGCAAGAAAGGGGAGGATGATTAACAGAAAGGGTGGCAGATTTGTCAAGTCAGAGACATAAAACTGATGAGTCCATGTCAGCATTTTAATGCTGCACTTGATATTTAAACCAAAAAAGGCAACTCTTTGTTAGCCCATACAACAATTTGTGTATATCACGTCTAATCCTACATCACATCAGGGAGCTAACTTCCATGGAATAATAATTCTTTTTTAATTCAGCCTTAACTAAAGAGAACGTGTTGTCAAAAGGATCAATGACACTTTTACAAGCAATGGTAAGGATTTTCTCCAGCAGTTTTCCTAATTGCTGCAGTCCAGAAAAACTGAGGATGTAGGAGAAAGCATGAATTCCCAAATCACAACACAGACGTGGAAGCCTCTGTTACATAAATCTAATTTTTTTTTAAGAAATATCAGTACAAGAAGATGAAATAGAGATGGGAGTCAGAATATAGACTAGCAAGTGATGTAATTATTCACTGTAAAAATGAGAGAGAGAGAGATACACAGTTGAATTTCAACTTATTAAGGGCTAATTTTCTGGAAGAAAAGGACAACTAATAGGAGACAATTGGAAAACAATGGAATCAAGCACATAAGAATCACATGAATTAATAAATTATTACCCTAAGCATTGTCCCAGACCCAATTTAAACATGAAGATCTGATTTTGAACACTGCTGAGCAATGTACTATAAGGAATTATGTGTTTGTTTCTAGGGATATAAGATACGGATATATTTTCATATATATCCATTTATATCTTATAAATAAAGGAATGTGAGCTGTGATTGATACATTCACATGTGAGTTACTGTGAGTTTACAAGTGAGGTGCTTCTCACTCTTGCCATTACTTGATACAATATCTCTGTTGTGTTAGATTCTTCTGAATTCTTTAATGTTTCACTCCTTGCTGTACAAGAACGTACAACGCACCCAATTTCAATGGTGTGGGTCCTTGCCGGAGCGGGGGAAGGATTCCCTTTCAGTGTCTATTCACTGGAGAGAAATATTTTTGATGGGTAAGAGAATCCTTTGTATAAGGAGGAGGAAATATTTAGAAAACGTGCCTTAAATAGGGTGGCTTTTCAGAAGAGCATTGCAAAAAATGCTGACAAAAATGGTTATAATAATCTTGCTAATGGCATTCCTGAGTAAATAGCTGAGGTAAATCAATTCAGGCCTTGTATAAGAGGGACAGCTTTGAAGCTATTCAAAAACTTGGTGGTTTTGAAAGTCTTCAGTTTGACACGAAGCTTAATCAAGACAGTTAAAATACATAACTGAAAGAAAATTAAGTATCTACCTTTTGATGTTGAGAGGTGGCATTTAATCTTAGAACTTGAAACATCATCAGTCTCTCAGAGGACTTTCAACTCATTCCAACTTTCCTGGTGCATCTTGAGGTAAGGACATTTTATTGCTAACTCGCAAACTAGAGTTTCAAACCTTCAGAGCCCTTTTCAGTTCTCTGTTGTGAGCGGTTCTGTGCTAACAACAACTTTTTAATACCTTTTATTTTGTAGTACTGGTTTGCAATAAAGCTAGTTCTTCCTTTGGAAGATGGCTTGACATCCATAAGAAATCTCAGTGTAAATCAAAGAGCCATTTTCAGCCAAACAGACTCAAAAGGCTTTAAAGTTTAGGCTTTTGTACATTTTGTACCCCACACCCTAAATTCTACTGTAGAAAGATAACGCTGGCTCTGCTATTTCTTTCAAATGACTTGACCCAGCCCATATAAAAGACACTCCAAACCTAAAAGTAATGGGCGTTCATTCGGGGCATCACGGTGAGGTTTGCAGGCTGAGCCGTGGTATTGTTCTGATTTAGCTACGTTGCTTCAAATTCTCAAAGGACATTGTCACTGCCTTTGGAGATGCTGCGTGGTTTTCAGTTGCATGGTGTTGTCATGCCAAGTGTCACAGGAGGCTTTTATCAGTAATTTATGTATTATACAGAATACATACAGAAGTGAATACCTGGAAATAATTTTTCTGTTGTGGTACTTCACTGCAGTAGTGGGAGAGCTTAATACATCTAGATCCCTGCTTGCTTGATTTCTTTAGAACCCATCCCCTGTTCACAGGAGAAATGCAGAACGAATCAGAAGGCCCTTTTTTCCCCCAACTATACGGTTACATTTAGCACACGGAGGCCTGAACCTTTTTCAAAATAAATATTCCAAAAAGCTCTAACTTAAAGGCTTTTAAGAGGTATCCTGTTTCTGTGAAGAGTTAAGGGATAAACAACAGGGAAGTTCAAACAAAACAGAGGGTTCTCTCACTGATGTTTACGTTGTATGGGCATAGAAGATGGAGATCAATACTTTATTGTTGAAGGCACGTTTAGCTTTAGAAATCATAGAGTTGTAGAAAAGTTTGGCTTGCAGGGGACCTTGAAAGGTCAGCTAGGTCAACCCCCCTGCAATGAGCAGGGACATCTTCAACTAGGTAGGGTTGCTCAGATCCCCCTCCGACCTGACCTGGAATGACCAGTCCCTGCCTTGCGGTCCTTACACTCAAGTGGTGTGGGAAGAGAGGTTGCCAGTGAAGACTGAGGCAAAAAACTTAGTATCTCAGCCTTTTCCTTGTCCATCATCTCTCAATCTCCTTTCTGGAGATCCAGGTGTATTCCTAAAGCAGCAAAGTGGGCCAGGGAGGCATCTGATGCACAGGCTGATGGCTGCTCTGTCTTAAGGCTGGCATTCATGAGGTGGCTGTGTACAAGAGCAGCAGGGAAGAAGGCATTCTCAGTTCCCCAGAAAAAAACACTATTTCTCCAAATTTTTTCTCCTTTCACACAGTGATACTAATTTAAGGCCTGAGGACTTTGTCCCTGAGACAGTGGCTCTGGATGCCAGGAGGCAGCAGGGTACCAGGAACAAACTTCTTGAGAGTCTGGCATGAGCTCATGGGAATGGGTTTCTGCACCACACAGAAGGGTGTAAGCTCTCATCAGTTCTTCCTCTTAACTTCACTGGGTGCTGATCTGCTGTAATTAATCTTGCAGACTGGATGGTACATGGAGCACGCTCTTTCCCTGCCTGCTTTGGGGTTGGTGTAGTCAAACTCTCAGAGTTAACATCTTGTGATTCAAAATTCCTGAATGATTATTGAGGACTGTGTTTTGCCTCTGCAGGATAGTTTCATATTAGACTTGCATGGGAATCAAGGTCCTGCTGGGTTCCTTGGAAAAGCTGTCACCTTTGGAAATTCCAGTTGTTTCTGAAAATCAGCAATTAACAAATGTTTGTTGCATGTTTTAAGACAACAGAACTGTCTGTAGCTGTGTTATGAGTTTGCTGTTGGCGGTTACAGGTGAGCAGGAGTCTGTACCTCTTCTGCTTGAAGAAATACATTGATAAGTTTTAGGGAACTGATTGTTCTGACCCTGGTGGGGCTAGTTTTGAATAGCGCTGTGTGAACTTAGGAGGTTTCTGGAGGAACAAGAAACCATGCTTTTCTACCTTTTGGGCACTGAGGTGGAACTACTGACATGCTGTGCAGTCCCATTTCTGGTTTTTCAGTGCCTGTGTGGCTTTTGGTACCAACCACTAGATAGAGGAACTGTTTGTAATGAGCTCTCCAGTTCTCTTGCACTCTGTGCACCCTTGCACTGTTCAGTAATGTCCTATAGACTTTCTGGTTTTGTTACCGATCTTTCTGGTTACCTGTGAGTGCTTCACAGTTGGGAGCAGAGTTGGAGCTGTCTGGACAGCCCAGCACAGTGCTAAGGGGAGATCAATTGGCTTCAGTCCTTGCTATGCAAACTTGGATATCGCTTAATGGCAGAACCTCGTGTCCTTTATATGCACCCAGATACACACATTCCTTTTGCCTGCAGTATGTAGACCACTACATAGTTGCAAATGCATGATGTTTCTGTCTCTACTTTCCCCTTAGGAGAACGTTGAATGTTATACCAGTAGCAGAGTGTGAAGGTAGGAGATGATGTCACCAAAACAAATGTTCTCCCTTGTTTTTCTTTCTAGATTAATACAGCAGATAATTTCACCACTTGCGAGGAAGCAGAAGACGATGACACTTACGTGCTTATGTCTGGCTCAGAAACTCAACCAGCCCCGAGTAAGTCACGTTGTTAGCTTGGTCAGTAACAAAGCAGGTGCTGTAATGAGTGAGTGGGACTATGGACAAACAGAGGAGGCAGATTATTTTAATACTTTCCATTTCCACGTTACTGCAATTTCCAGAGGGGGCAGATGCCCAAAGAGAAGGGGGGAGGCAGGTGAGGGGTTCAGTTGCGATAACAAAATCATCACTCAGTAAGACCTCAGTACAACCACCACTCCTGGTAAATTCTGGAAACTTGTGGTCTCTGCTCTGAATCTAGAAAATAGCTGAATTCTCCAAGTTCTCAGAGAAGAGCCTTCACATAAGGGGAAGCACAGATAGCAGACATTTTGTAGATTGATGTTCATAAATGTAAGCACAGACTGATGACAAGTTTGTTGATAATCTGTGTGGTCATATGAATTCTCCTTGAAAACTGCAAATGAAGTTGCTTGTTTGCATTTACTGATGGCATGTATTTTGCGTATGTTTTACAGTATCGTGGAATTATAATGCTAAACTTTATCCTGTTTCTGAGAATTTTGTCTTTTCCACTGTCTCATATTCTGTATGAGATGGTTGTTTCTTGTTTGCTAAGTTTAAACCAGTTGCTTTAGCACATCTAGGTAAATGATAGACACTCTGAAAATGTGGGCTAGAAACCTGGTTAGCCAAACCCCACTGTACAAAAAGCAGTTACACAGCTGTGTGAGCTCTGGCTTTGTTTTACTAAGTGGTGCACTGTGCTGCATTGCAAGTCAGGCCGTACCGATTACAGGAGTGTGTGTGATTTCGTTCTGACAGCAACTCCAGAAAAGTTTAACATGGCATGCACCAAGATGGTGTGTATCAGAGCAGGAAGATACAATCAAAACTTCCACTCTTGATTTGGTAAATATTTAAAAAGCTGTTCACTGACAGTGTGTATTTGACAGCTTTCCTACTGTATCAGTTCATAAAAGTTTTATTAGCCATTGTCTTGCTTCCGTGGGAATTCTTGAAACAGGAAATGTTTCCAGATGGCAAATTTTAAATAAAATAATACATTCTTTAGCATTAAAAGCCAAGCAGAACCCAGGAGATCAATATGGAATTGGATCAAGATTCCATCAAGAAGCTGAGGTGAAAGAGGAAAAGATAGATGATGTAGAAGACGGCAGAGAGGAGACAGAAGATGAAGATCAAGAAGAGGAAGATTCGTACAGCTTTCACAACAGCCCTGACGATGTGTATGCCAGCATACCTGATGATCTCGAAGAGGACAGAAGAAGCTGCTTCATCTGTAAGAGGCCACCACCTCCTCCCCCTCGAAATCTGCCCGGCATCCTAAGACAGGACAATCTGCACAATTTATCACAAGGTACAGTCTTGGGAGGAAAGTACTGCCAGATGCAAACATGTGCAGGAAGAAATTCTTTCCTGTGAGGGTGGTGAGGCACTGGAACAGGTTGCCCAGGGAAGCTGTGCATGCCCCATTCCTGGCCAGGCTGGATGGGGCTTTGAGCAACCTGGTCTGGTGGGAGGTGTCCCCGCCCAGGGCAGGGGGGTTGGAACTCGATGATCTTTAAGGTCCTTTCCAACCTGAACCATTCGATGATTCTATGGTTTGTGGTGGTTTTGGCAGTGTTAGGTTAATGGTTGGACTTGATGATCCTTTCCAACGTAGATGATTCTATGATTGTGTGACCAGGTCTGTCAGCTAATACTATGTATGGTATGGGCTGCAGAATTCAGGTTTTCTTCACTCTGCCCATCTCAGAGAGTTTCCAAATAGATTCCAAGAGAAGCTTGAAACGAAAGATTGAGCTTGTATCTTTGTCAAGTTGTTTTAAGTATTTAACATTTAAAAATATTATATACTATCTTGATTTAATACAGCTTGGAATTTCACAGGTAGAATTAATAGAAAGTGACTGTGTGGAGAGAAGTAACATAGTATTTGATTACATTTGAGGCAATGTTGTGGTTAGAAATAAAAAAAAAAAAAAGTGTATTGCGTTGCAGATTGAAAAGAGAGGGAGAAATTGTGACCTTTAATGAAATGCTTTGCCTTTTTTTTTCCTTTTTTTTTTTTAATATTTCCACCCCAGAGTAAAAACCTAAAATTTAGTCTTGTAGTTTGATTCAAGTGATGAGAAGCCCAAAATACTATTTGCCTGTATTTCAGAAGGGATGATTACCACTTTTTCTCATTAGGAAAAATAAGTATGGTAAAGAATTCAAGCTTAAATACCAGTCTTAAATAGTCACATAGAGGAAAAAAAACAACTTATTTGTCACAGACACTACTGATAAGTGTGCACACAAATTGCTTCTCAGTTTCTCCACTGCTTATTACTGCTAACTTTGTTTCCAAATGTGGCATAACCTATTAGAGTCTTAAATTACCATCACCGAGCACTTTGAAGTTCACAGAAGTTGATAGAAATAGCTTTCTAGCCTTATAGCCTGCTATAGGTACGTTTTCATCCTGTTTTCTGCTGTGAAAAAAAAAGCTGGCTATGTGCAGGAAGGCATAGGTGGATTCTAAGAGAAAGAGGGGGAGAATAAAATTAAAGATGCATTTTGCCTCCCACAAAATGCTGAGCTCCAGCTATATGTGTGCATAAAGAAGGGGTGAGGTTTGGCATGCAGGATTTGTTAGCGTAGTTTGATATAAATGCCTGTCTTGGAACAGTTCTCCATGTGGCTGTACCATCAAGTGGTGATGGGACCCTCTCTGCCAAACGCTGGGTGTTGGTAGGTGGGTACCAGCAGGGACAGTGTCCTGTGCTGCTGAGGTTCATCTAAAATGCTGTGTATTTTCCTGAAGTGCTGGCCTTGCTTTTCTTTGGGGAATGGGTCGGGGGGTATCAGAATTCCTCTAGATGGGGTTGATGTGTGCTTTCAAAGAGGAGCCCTAACGAGTCGTTGCTACATTATTTTTAGTCAGCTCCTTGCTTTAGATATTGCTGTGGAATACCGAAAAGGTAAGTCCCCTCTTTTTGATGTCTTTGCTTTGGCAGTGGCGTGAGAGTGCCCCCTGTGGGAGTTAAAAGAAAGAATATCCTGCAGAGAAAGAACTTTTCTAGTGACATGGACAAAAAAAATATTTTTCATATTAAATACGGCAGGTATATTAATCCCACTTGTTGCTTTCAAACATTTTAATATCCTATCCAGAATACATGTTGATAGTAAATATTAGTAATATGTCCCATTTATAAATTATACATCCCATTTATAAATATATCCCACTGACAAAGATTATTTAGCTCCTCTGAGCCCATAAACAGATAAAACAAATCTTTAAATAGCAGCCAAAGCATTGAGACCACCAGTAGTGACCACAGCCTAGTTTAGCACATGCACATGTACAGGCAGATTACAGCAAGGGGAAAACATGACTCAGTACAGGAATTCCAGGCAGGAAAGTTCCTGTTTTTGCAGGAAAGATGGGTAATCAGCACAAGGAAGTTATAAACATTTCTGGAACACTAGCCTCAGTAACAGCTTCCAGCTCGTAGCAGTTTGTGCTAAGAGTGTTTGTGGGTCTTTTTTCAAAACAAACCAAAACAAACCCAGGTATCAGGAAACTCACCGATTCCTTTTAATGCTGTAAAATTTTAATGCTAAAGGAAAGCAAGTTTTGAGTAGTTGTAACATGAAATATATTGACATTTTGGGAGTACAGAGAGTCAGGGAAGTTATTGGGGTGGGAGGTTTGGATAGTCTTAGCATAGATTATAGGAGGTCAGAAATTTCATCTCCCCTGTAAGGGGCTTTTTAAAATTTTTTCACCTTATCCTTCAGGACGTCTTAGTAAAGCCCTCAAACCAAATGGGACAGAGAAGGTGTCCAACATTTCTAAAATGTGTTGTAATTCTTAAGCCAGTGTTGCAACAGCTGACAAATAGCCTGGCTTTCCAAAATGCCAGGGGCCACAGGTACCCCTTACTTGGCTTCACCATTAAAGAACATGTTTGTGGGAGCAACTGGGGCACTCAGTATTTCTTTTAAATAAGCTCATTTATTTTGGGACTAATAGCTAAGCATCTATTTTTGAGAATCTGATGTGAAATCATGAGGAGGCCCTGAAGTTGGGATTATTCCTTTGGGACATGCTCTCCACTGACTTAGATGATCAGAAGCCTCTGAAAATCAGAGCACTTTAGTTTAGAAGTGAAATTACATCTCCGAGTTACTTCAGGAAACTCCAGAGCTTTAAGTTAAATCCTAATCTCCTTCCTTTACCCTATATATGGAACACAATTCCGTGCTGTTTCAGAGAGGAATTTTGTGGAGGACAGAAGTGAAAGAGAACGTGGTGATGGACTCATAACAGCATGCTATAGAGAAGAGCAAGATACCTGTGAGGAAGAAGATGAGGAGGAACACCCGTATACTTTTGCGAAGCTGGATGAATGTGTGTACGACTTAATACTGGCTGAGAAGGAGGAGGGGAGAAGGAAAGAACGCAGGTCTTTTATCATCAACAGGCCACCAGCCCCTGCCCCTCGTCCTGTGTTTTCGCCGGTCAGAGAGGAGAACACCCCCTATATTGTACAAGGTTAGTGCTGCTGCTTTGTAAATATTTGCTGGTAGAATACAGACGGGTCTCTTCTATTTGATGAATAATATTTTTTTCAAAAAAGATCCTTGTTCAGAGGTCTCTTCTATTTGATGAATATTTTTTTCAAAAAAGATCCTTGTTCAGTTACTTTCAAACTAAAAAACTGGTTGCTTTAGTCAACCTATTCTCACCGTTCACATGAGCCGAGAACATCTCTGACTAATGTTAATTTTCAATTTACATCTCTGCATCACTTTTTTGGTTTAATTTTACAAGAAATTACGACTATGATGGAAAATTAAGAATCGCTGGGCTAGCTGTGTGTCCGTTTTAACAGTGTAATACAGAATGTGGTATTTGAATAGCCTTTCCTTACAATTTCTTTATCAAAATGTAGCATCACTTTTTTGGTTTAATTCTACAAGAATTATAACAATATGATGGAAAAATAAGAATCGCTGGGCTAGCTGTGAGTGTGTCCGTTTTAACGGTGTAATACAGACTGTGGTATTTGAATTGCCTTTCCTTACAATTTCTTTATCAAAATGTTTTTACTTAATTCTAAGACAGAGATTTTAGCCATATTTTATTTTTTCTGATCAGAACAGCAGGGAGAAATGCCCACGTGAGAACTCTTTCAAATATCTTTTCTCCAATGCAAGATGCTAGAAATGGCCACCTGAGGAAGGGTTATGTTCTTTTACCACATCTGGGAAAACTGGGGGACCTTTTTGAGCTTATTCATGGAAATGTAAGACTGGAAGAGATCTGAGGTGGCTTGTAGTCTGCTTCAGATGGAAGCCAAATATCAAAATAACAAAGGGAATTTCTGTGAACCTACTGCAGAGATCTCTGTGTAAGCCCCAAAATCCATATTGTCTGCGTTTCCAGCTTCCTCTACAAAAACCTGCCAATGTATAAGAATATACATAAGAATAAATGGTGGGAAAACAGGCTGAGAAAGGACAGAGGAACAGCAAATGGCTTACTCTGCCCGGGGCATGTTTGGCACTAAAACAGGATTAATACTGCCCAAATCATCCTACCAAATGCAGAGGAACACCTCCCTTTCTGTGCCTATTTCAGTTAGTGATTTATTTTATTCTCCCTAGCTAGCTGTCTTCCCCCAGGCTGTGTAACTCCAGGTGAGGGCCACAATGTGTGGGATAATGTGTTCATCGTTTACTTGCTCTTTCTTCAGCATGTTCAGGAGGTATAAGGATGAATCATTACAGTAGTTACAGTGTACTCCAAGAAGGGATGTATAGAGGGGCCTGTTACAGCTGCAAAAGTCCTGAAATGGCTGCTTTTACTGAGATTGCTAGAGCTGTGTCTCAAATCTTGGCCCTCCTTCTCCCTAGCTAGCTGTCTTCCCCCAGGCTGTGTAACTCCAGGTGAGGGCCACAATGTGTGGGATAATGTGTTCATCGTTTACTTGCTCTTTCTTCAGCATGTTCAGGAGGTATAAGGATGAATCATTACAGTAGTTACAGTGTACTCCAAGAAGGGATGTATAGAGGGGCCTGTTACAGCTGCAAAAGTCCTGAAATGGCTAGAGCTGTGTCTCAAATCTTGGCCCTCCATCATCATAGACAGGCCAGTGACTTGATAACCCTTACTGTGAAGATGCATTATTTGGGAGATTGCTTTCACTGTCTTTTATTGCAGTAGAGTGTTTCTGCTTTGTCTACCCTAACCGGTCAGTAAGGAAGAGGTTATCAGAGGAGCTGCTTTGATGGGACTGTGGTTCTTTTATACTCTCTCTATATATCTCTCTATGCACAACACCCCCAAGGTTTTTAGCTTTGCTTTTATAAGCAGGTAGTGGCAGACAAATTATTTCCCTGTTTATCTGTGGAATCAGCCTCTGGCTCAAGTTCATTTACTTATATAAAAAATGAGAAAAGTGGAAGTGCTTCATGAACACTTCAGTTGACCACTCAGGCCTCTGCTTCCCCTGGCTGTCCTGCTAGTTCCAGGCCTGGGGTATCTCACTCTCCTGTTTTGTGGAGGGATTCCTGAGATCATAGAATCATGGAATGGTTTGGATTGGAAGGGACCTTAAAGATCATCCAGTTCCAACCTCCCTGCCATGGGCAGGGACACCTCCCACCAGGGCAGGTTGCTCAAAGCCCCATCCAGCCTGGTAGATAGTGACATTTTAGTCAGAAGGGATATATCTTCAGCTGAAGGATTTTTCTTGCTACTTGGATTGGTAATTTTTGTCCTTCTCCACAGTGGTTAAAAAATTCTTCATCCAGTCCAGCAATATCCCAGTTTCCAGTTTATTATATTAAAACTGCTTATAATAGGAAAAAAAGATTGTTTCGGCTGTAAGAACCAGAAAATCTCATTCCAGTACATCATTAAAATCTGCATGTGTTTGCAGCCATTGCTTTATAATTTAATCTAATCAGTGTAAAATAAAATTACTCTGGCTAGTGCATATACACATTTTTCATCCCTCAAATAAATTGGTGATAGTTTGGGGTTTTGTTTTCATATATTATGTTAAAAAGAGCAGTGCAGAAGTTGCAAAGTCAAATAATCAAAAAGTTAGAATTGAGGTAGTTTTACTTCTTTCTCCCTGCCACAAATGTTTCAACACAGTCCTTAAGCACACAGCCCTGTGCTGATATTTATCCCAGATATTTTGGATGAGCATAATTTGCAAAACTCTTCAGTGTTTTTCATTCCTGTTTTTGTTTAAAGTATAACTCGTGCCTGCCCTAGGTCCAGTGTGTTGATTCAGACCCTCCCTGTGATAAATCCTTTGATTTTTCCTGTATCGGTTGAGTTTTTGGGTGCCCAATATGAAGTAACTAAGATGCCATTTTGGGATTGAATAATTATGTATTATTTTACTCATTCAAAACAGAGATTCCATTGCTTTCAGTGGCCACTTTGAGCACTCAGAACTTTAAATTAAATCGTTAGTGTGTCTACTCACACCCTAATGTCAGGGAGTGACGAGCTCCCCTGCTGCCCTACGTGACTTGTCTGGGGTTATGCTGGGGCTTTGTTGGAGAGGTAAGTCCTGTTCTGCAGAGCAATTTTTAGTTAATTAACTGAGGCGTTCTTCCCTCCTCTGTATTCGCTTGCCATTTGCTAAATACCTTTTAACTGCTAAAACAAATTATATAATATTCCTGCAAGAAACGGGTCGTCTTCACTGCACAGTTCTGATTGATCTTCAGAGCCATGAAAAATGGGATTAGAGAAGGGAGCGTGCTGCGCAGAGGAGGGCTGTGGTGAGGCTGCACGCTCTCCCAAACAGCATCCCCAAGTACTCTGGGAGTTTCTGGGAGGAGCAGCCTTCACGCTCCAGGGATTGCAGGGGCTGTTGGGATCGTGCCAGGCAGAGATGCAAGAGGCCAATTTCTTTTTGCCCTTTATGTACCTGCAGAGGTGGCTCGTTTATTGGCAAAAAAAAGCGTAAGCATTGCATAGCAGAAATGCCTTTTGCCTCAGATTGCACACTGGTGCCTCCTTTTTAATTTAGTTCTTTTGTATCCGTCAGGACAAATTGAGTGGCTGAATTCTCATGAGGGCTTCCACCACAGGTGAGGTCCATGAAGTTACGGAAGAGAATCTTCTCCTTTAAGCAAAAGTAGTGGTGTTTCTATGAGAATAGCAACAGAGAAAGTGAGCAAATAGCCCTCTTTGTAATAAGTAGCTTTCAAATCCATGGAAGCTGAAGTTAACACTAAGCAGAAAGCCTGCTCCATGTAGATTATTACTTGGTGCTCTGCAGAGAAGGATAGAGGAACTGCTGATCTCTAGAAAGCAAACATGGGACTTCACAAGCCCCTTTTTAGAATCTCTTTCAGAGCAGGACCTACACTTCAAAACCTAGGCGGTAGACACTCGGTGATGCAAGTTGTCATAACCAAACCATCACAATTTACAGTTTGAGCATCTGACCTGAATTTGCAGACAAATGAATTCTGGGAAACAGGAGTGAGCTGAAAGATGTAAAATGTAAGTGTTGAAATCACTTTTACTCAGTTTCAATTATTCTATTTTCAAATTTTAATGAACATGCAAACTACCGTATGGCACACTGCTCAACGTACTACATTTTTAACAAACAGAGAGTACGTTTGCTCTTTAATTTCGACCACTGCAAGAATTCTGCCTTCTGTGTGAAAGGCTCATCAACCCATGGAGCTGCAAATTGGTGCCAAATAGCTTGTTGTCCAGATGGTGTGCACTCCTAGTGTGCTCCCTTCCCATTCCTCAAGTGCTTAGTATTCCTTTGTAGGTTATTTCAGTGTTTTTTCAATTGTGTGCTGCCAAAACAACTGTTAAATAAATGTATGAGGGTGTTGTGTTTTCAGTTTAGGGTGCAATTTTAATGTTCCCTATTGATACCAGCTTTGATTGAGCTGGAAACTGAAGTCCCCTGTGCATTCCTAGGACAGGTGCATGAGTTTCTGTGATGCTTCCCTACCATGTCTGAAGTCTGACCCACCAGGACTGCCTCCGGGCTTAGGAATTACATTACTGGCCTGGTTTGATCATTTATGCTTTACCAGAGACCAGCAGTACAAGAGGGGTTCTCTGCAGCAAGGACACCTCTCCTACAGCAGCATAAAGAAAAATACGCTGTAGCCTTTGCTCCTTCCCAAACATCTCACAAAGCCCTGAAGGAACACCCTTCCCCTCTGTGCGCTGGAAACACTCTGCTGTTTCAAGGTAGCTGTCTGTGGGACTTCACATCAGGGTTAGGAGTGGAAAAATATGTTTCCCAGTTACTATCCCAGAAGAAAATAGCATTCTCCTTGCTCATCAAAATCACAGGGTATGCAGAAAAAGCAGGAGGCAGAACATCTCGTGTACAGAACAGACAACATCAACCCAAATGAAATGAAAAAACCAAAATCCAAAACAGAACTGTTAGTGTCTTGAAAACTTACCAGGCTGATTGCTGGGAACTACACTGATCACTCCTGACTTAGTAATTCTTATGATGCGGGTTGTTTAAATGCTCTAAA